CCGAACTAGGGAGATTATAATTATCTGACAGATAGATTATTGTAATTGTATTGAGTTTTTTGTAATTATTATTATCAGTGATAACAGCAGGAAATAAACAGGTCAGTCTTACATAACAATCTCCTGATTCAAGCTGAATATCAACCACATCCAAATTAAGAAGCTGGGACAAGATTTTATATAAAAGAAAGGCAACAAATACTTGAAAGTGCTTCCCAAGTTCATTCAATTTTTGTATGACGGTCATATTTGAAGAGTTTACATTTGAGAATTACGGGTAAAGTGATTAAAGAATAAAATATCTATTCAGAAAGTGACATTCTTATCTGTCTTTGGTAGTTGACAACTGCAACCATGGGAAGATAACTGAAAATATTATATATGGGCAGCGTATCCAAAAAACATTACATGATAAAAATAAAAATTTGAAATTTATTGCTACCAGCATTTTGAAGTCAATGAAACAATGTTTTACATTTCATTCTTTTAAAATAACAAATTGAATTTTCTCACACAATTCTCCTATGCCTGCTGCAAGATTTGGTTGAACAACACTAACAGTTGTATTTTTTGTTTTTAAATTTCCCAGTTTTACATAACACAAAATGATTCATACCAATATATATATATGTTGTGGGATACAAAAACTTACACCTGATCCAGGAGATTCAATAACTTAATATTTCAAGTTGTGTACTTGCAACACAAAGCGGGCAGTTTACTTCAGTGTAATTTCACAATACCTCATTTCCATTCTTGAAATTTTAAACATGAACAGCTACTGGTCACAAATGTAACCCATGATGATAGGTGACATTTTATTACCTATCTTGTGATTTTATTCTCATGGAAATTGATGAAGCTTGTAGATTATATCAGAGATTTAACTCATTTAATGGACAAAAGTTGTACCTATTCATGTGCTACTGGGCAAACACTTAGAATTAAGATATATTATATACTTATTATAAAACCTCGCCACCCATTTCCGAAATTTATGTTCTGAAAAGGAATGCCGAGATTTCGTAACTGTAACGATTTTTAACCCAGTATTTAAACCTTACTCCTGAAAAGTGCAATTTTCTTTCTCATACTGCATACTTCGTACTTGTAAACAGCTACATGAAAAGAATGCAACAGCTGTTGTCGGAATCGTGAAAGCAAAATAAATTAGCTATTCTCCCATTGGCCTGGTACATTATTCTGCGCTTATAATGTACCTTTACCTTATTGACCCCGGACGCTACGCCAATATAGCTTTCGTTTATATTGAACATATACCTTGTAGCAATACCGTCCGGCCTATGTCTATAGATACAAATGGACCTGATAGAAATTACCTTTCAAACTGACCATTAGTCTCCATGGAAACCAGCAAGAGAAATCCAATAATTTTGCCTGGAATCCACATTGGCCGTGAGCTATGCTTCATGTTTGGGTCTGGTACTACAGTAATACATCTTGGGTCACCATGGCCGTGAACAAGCAACCAACTTTCATTTCCTGTTCATGAAATCTGTGCTTCCAAAAGTGACATCATTTTGTTATAAAACTAACGTAAACAACTTCACAATTATTTCTCTTACAGTTCCTAGTAATCAACACTGTATAGTGTTCTGGCCTTAATTAATGGCAAGGACCATATGTTGGCCACCACAATCATTATTTTTTTAAATTCCTGACTGCAACTTCAAAATATTATTATACAATCTATAGAAAAACGTCTTTTTACACTTGAATTTAAATGTCATTTTTCATTCGTGACAAAAACATTATTTTCCTTTTATAAGATTCAACTACCACAGATTTTAAAGTTTGAGGTTAAAATGATTTTTTCTACCAGTCAAGATTTTGTAGAGTCAATTTTTTCCCTGTGTTACTTATTTAGATTTTTTCGATAGAAATAATGATATTTTTGACTTTTTCATTATTATAATTTATAACTCATTCAAACTAGAGGAGCAGGGAGACAGTGGGCCTAGAAAGCTCATTCACAAAATAAAGACTACAGCATAGCTGACCTACCCAGCTGTGTCATGGTGATAACATTTTTCGAAAACCTAGTCACACGAGAACCGAGGGCTGACAGCTAGGACAAAAACCGCCTTGCCCCGAGTCAGTGAATGTGTGTGGCGGTTCTTTTGCCCCGAGTCGACAGGTAAAGGTATTGAATCGTGTCTTTCTGTAAACAGCTCTGGTATTAGCATTCACTTTGCAAGTACAAAATGTTCACGGCCCAGTGAAAAAATACCTGTGGCCCATTGTCCTGCAATTTGAAGTCTTTGTAGCCTAGCTACCAATAAAGATTTGCAGACCTTTTTCACACAAGCCGAGTCAGAATTCAGTGTTGATAAATGTTTGAGGCAGAAATTTGAGAACCCATGCATATATTTGAATATTATAATATACAAGATCCCCACCTAGGAACATGTTATAATTGGAAACCTCAAAGATTTGCCTGAAAAGGTTTTCTTCTTTATTGCCCAGAACAAACTGGTCATTTTCTTAGTATCCAGAAGTAAATAAATATTTTTGTCTGTAAATCCTATTACAATCTAGGTAACTATAGTTTTTACATTTATATGTCTACTTGCATAATGTATATATTCTCTAACAGTATAAGGTTAAAATAAGTACCGGAGAGTTTTTTATGCTTGTTCTAATGTAATCTGCCAAAGCTGGCAAGCAAAGCTGTATTCAATTACTTTAATCTATATACATGTATGTTTCTTGGCAAGCTTAGACAAGATTCGTGAAGGGTTTTAAATCTCTTTTTTGAGGAAGGATTTTCTTAAACCCCGCATTAGAACAAGTTCACTAATGACGCTTTAACAATTTTACTCGGTTAAACCGCCACGTACTTAAAACCGGCGACATCCATTGATATAAAATGGAAGTATGTCCATGATATATTCAAAGGCTTGAAAATCCATGCCATCACTTTTTTCATGAAAATGAAACACTTTTTTTTTGGTAATTTCCTTGTGGCACAAACAGTTTAATATATATAAATCCAGGATGATAAACAGGTTTACTTATAAACAAGCGTAATCCGAATATGGAACATCAAAGGCTGAAATATATACAGTGAACATTTCCTCGGGTAATCCATCACACGAAATGTCACCTGGGGTTGTATATTTCCTCGCCATGACATCACACAGATAAGCAGATGACCACAGTATATAACAACTGCTCATCATATGTAAATCCTCTTCGATGGTTAAAACAAATCATTTTTACCGTAAATAATCCAATAGTAGATAAATCAACGGATACATAACTTTATTTCAATATAAATCAAGAAAACTATGTATATTACTGAACAAGTTTAATTACCATAAATATTCCCAAAGTTGATAAATCTACTGATAAATAATACCAATTTCTTTCAATATAAATGAAAACAAACTTTATAAATAGAAACATGAATAAAAATATTTCAATATAATTTATAAACGGAAAAAATACATTGTTATTAAAATTACCGTAACAATGCTTGATAAATTTAATGTACAAATATTAACTTTATTCCTACATAATCGGAGCAACATTGTGTCAGATTATAAAGAGCAATTAATTAAAAATGTTACTTTATTCTCACAAAATCTAAGTGACTGAAATTACCGTAAATATTCCAATATATAACAAAACATTCTGTTGAATATTTTTCCCTCCCTACTATTTGAAGAAATCATGTTTTTAATGGGACCTATTGTGAACCTTAACCAAATTATCATATCTATAAATAAAACATTTCCATTTTACATCCAGTATCATATATACACAAATACTGTATTTCTATATTTTGTCTTAACAAAAATTGTCATTATCAGAAATAGTTCATATAATAATTATAGTCTATTTCTTTAAATTATTAATATGACTTATGAAACAAACATAAAATTTGATGAAAGTGTTTATAATTCTTTATGCACTTCACACAAATTTTAATTGTCAAATTTGTACAAAATATTAGTTCTGTTCATTACTTAAACTTCAAAAGTTCTTAACACTGAGCTCAGTGAGCCGACATCGATATTATTTCACAAGGTGTAAAAGTAAAAAAAATCCTTAAGATTGTTTTGAAAGTTTTGTTTACTGAACAGTACAGTCTTTTTACACAACGCTTACTGTTATCAGAAAATTCTTAATTTATCAGCCAGCTAATTGGTCATTAACAAATAGCAGGTGCCTTTTCTCTGAATATAGGTGTCTGTCACTGTAATGTGAATACTCTATGATTCAGCCTGCTGTTTGGGTTTTTCCTTAAGACCTGTGGTAACTCGATTACATAACAGATTGACACAACATTACATAATGTTAGATCTAGCTTTCCCTTTCCCCCTGTCACAGCACAGGATCTTTGAAGAAAAGGACACCTAATTGTCTACACCCTTGGGGGAAAGGACGCTAACAATAACAAAATAATCACGCCCATCATATGAAACGGGAAATATACACTGAAGAATTTCAAAGGAGAATTTGACAGATTTCACAGCAAACTTGTACAGTTGTTCAAGCTTTCCGAGACAACATCCTAAAATATTGACATACGTATACCATACTGTATAGTTCGACTACGAAGTTTACGGCAACTAGCCAGCTTTGTATTTGAAATAAACAAATAAACACTTCAGTATCATATCTTGAAGACAACATATGCAATACAACAATTTCTCGAATGCGCAGTTTACAAGCACAATTTGAACACACGATTCGGTCGATGTAGGCAAATATTGTGTGCAATGAAATCACAGCGATAATATTGAAGTCTCCATCCGATAGATACTATCATGACGCACGAAATCATATTTTGAACATGACATTGACAATATACAGAATAACAACACAGAGCATATATATTTATGTTTAAATCTGCTGATCATTGAAGCAATATAATATTAAAGTATTTCCAGAACGCGCCCACATAAAATGGCTGACCCCATTCGATCATAGCATTGTCAACGTGCATCTGGAAGGTATGCACGCATACTTACCGCTTAAAGTGTTCAAACACCTCATCCTCTGTGACTTTTTCCGGTAAATTTCCTACAAAGAGGTACCTAGTTTCTCGAACCATCGCTTTGTATCCTACATTACGTTGGGTTGATGCTAGTTACCATTATTTCACTGTTTCAATATCCCATGTCTGTACATCCTTCACTTTTCTCATAGCGCTATTCCTGTAGTAAAATAATTCATGCCCTTCCATGACGTCACCTACACGTGACCTTCGACCGACTGATCTTGCGAATATATTACAAAGAATCGGGGGTCGTCTCAAAACGTCACTATCGGTCTAAAATATACAAAACGTGGCAGGTTTTAATAATTTATGGCCACATTGTGTTTTATAAACATAATATATATCACGTTAGTTATGATCGTATCGATCTAGGACCGTTCGGGGTTCTGTTAATTGAGGTCATTATGGACAAACAGGTGCCCGATTATTATTCAAAGTACCCTCCATGAACCGTAGTTACTCTAATGTATTAATTTATATATATATATAGCAACAGGCAAGATAACGACGGATACACCGTCTCATCAATATTTATACGGGGAAAACAAGAAATTATCTGAAAACTAAGCAAATATATGAATTCGACACATTGTCATTGTGTGTACGAAGGCAAATTCGCAGCAGACTAGAAGGTGAACACAAAATCAATTTCACAGAGGTCAGGAATACGATTTAGAACCAACATTTTAGCCTAGATCATGTCATGTTATATACTTTTATGTTGATATTTCAACTTAAGTTTGAAATAACAACATTTACTGCTACAGAAATGTCCCATCTTTTGTTTGAAACCATTGAGTGCTTATTACCGTAGTTGGTCATTAATAAATTATAATGGCAGATGTTGTTTGGGTTGTTGTGTTGTGCTGGAAGCCCGGATACGGTCTTGGTGTATACCGTATTGTGTGCTATGCTGTACATTGGACCATTAATATAACGACGAAATCCGACATTCAAAAACACAAGACACATATAGATATAATGTACCTTTTTTGGTTTCAAACTTCATTATTTTTATGGGTTACCTCATTTATTGGCGTGGGGTAATTTTATGTAAAAGAGTATGATTATATACATGTCTTCGTTACTACATTAAACACTGATATTTGTAACTATTAGCTTGGTACTGCGTGTTAAATTTGAACTGTTCATTTTATAAACCAGCTTGTAACAGAGACTTGTAATAAGGAGCCTAGATTGATTTTGTCCGTTGACGACGATTTTATTATACTTTGTCCAGGGCTTACTGTAGGGAACGGGGCATGCCTTTGTGTAGTGCTAGGCATTGTGTACACTTCAAAAACCACAGCAAGCCTAATGGCGGAAAAGCTTTGAGGTCGGTTTAGCAGACGGTGACCTTTCTGAGCTACTCGGCAGCACGCTGCGTCCTACTTTTTATAGCTTTCGTTTATATTGACTAAATCTCACGTGGTTTTATAACACATAACACGTTTACCTTCGACGATTTGCATAAATATCACAGATTTATGACATATTGTCTTTGTGGATATATGATAGATAGATAAATATATATGTGTTTTCGGCCAGTAATTATTCACGTTTCCAACATTAGCATATTCAATGACATTTCATTAGCCTATTTTCCTGTGAAGAGAGGATATTTCAAAGAATCTAGACACGAATCGACATGTCATTTTTGCTTTACGTATGTGTACATGTCCACGTGTACATAGAACTAGAAATATCAATTACGTTTGTCAGGCAAAAAGGTGTAAATTGCAGCGTTCATAATGTGGGAAACGGGCTTAGTGGAAGCAATTTCATATCACATGACTGAAACGCGATGTCAATTAGCAAACGCAGTCGTTAATTACTCCGCGTCCGGTGTTCATTTATATCTTATTCATCAGGGTTGAATACACGTGTAACACAACAGGGCATTACACATAAGGGTGTGGCCGCGTTGTTAGTATTCATTATTCAACATTCTACCTCCCAGAACGGCACTTCTGGGTGCCGCACGTATTAATAATACTTCACACAACATAGTAAACAGTAGTGTCGTCCATAACACAAGAGACACGTACACAACTATGAAAGACCTATATCGCGGACAAACACAATACAGAAATTGCCGTCATCTTTACCCAAAGATAAGTTAAGACTCTTGATGATTTACTACGTATGTCATTATAATGATTTATTTGGTTAACAAAGTCCAGATTCGTATGTTCTCTCCTTACGCACGATGCCCGGGAAAAAGACAAGCACAACATTTCCAAAATGGCGGAATTTGACATTGAAGTATGCTGGTCTCCTTGACGTGGCTAGCTAAGCACACAGACGGTATACACGCTTTAAAACCCCAGTGGACCCGTTCTGTTAGAGTTTATTTATAGAACAGGAGATTGTGTTTTGTACAATTTTTCCATCTGTCGAGTGTATACCTCGGTTAGTCAAGGGTATTCAATGTTATATCGCTTGGACTGGTTTTAAACGCCAAAAACAGGTACAAGAAAGTACATTTGTAGCCGTATAATTGTCCTTCCACGATAGCTGTTTTCTTTATATCGATTTTTGGGCCAACAAGACGAATCTCCACATGTCGCTTGGGTTCGCTTAGTAGTTTGTCGAGGCCGCGTTATCGATCTAAGCTCCTAGGATAGACTATGTGGGAGAGTGACGGTACACCAGACGAGTCCATTTAGCAGGATAGGGATTTCGGGTCGTACCAAGGAAGAGTTCAACGTTGAGGGGCGTTCCGGAAACCATGGACTAAATTAACGGTCACGTGCACTGTTGTGTACACAACCACTCCCTCTTGGGGATAAACCCTTTGAGCAGAGACACGTTCTCGGGTGTATCTGGCACTGATTGAGGGTGCAGGCATGTGCTTATTGCAATTGTTGTAAATGTTTGATATATATGTGTATATATATACACACATACACTTAGGTATGCTAACGTTATATATCTATGTATATATATGAGGTACGGGAAAGGGGGCATATCATACATATATATTCATAATTTATTACTTAGAATGGTATATATTTAATAAATAATATTTTAAATATGTGTTCATTCTCATACAGACATTTTGTTAAGTAATGAAAAGAAGTTCAAATATTCCATCGTTAATTTTGTCAAATCGGAGAATTAATTATAACGAATTAAGATATTGTACCTCAAGTATTCATGTATAGAGATAATAATCGAATTCCATATTATTTTTAATCCTTTCAGTGTTGGTCGCCATTTCACTCAAACAAACGCATGCCTAAGGCATCACATCTATGTTTCAGTTTTCATAACAATTCACCGTAAATCCAGTTGTTTTTAGCAAGACACATACATTTATTTTGAAGGTTGGAGATGGGTGGGGGTGGTTATAAAATGGTGAAAACATAGTTTACAACACTTGAGTCTGTTTCGGATGTCATCATGTAGAATACTTCATCTTAAAAATCTATATCCATCCCATAATATTCATAAGACTTCTTCTTCCACCGTTATATTTTACAGGATTGATTCGGATGTTAAAAGCCTTGTTACCTTACACATGTATTATATATTTAAAAAAACACTGAAAACCCGGATAGTTTTGAATGCTGTCCTTTCAATTGACTATGTAACGAAAGCAATGGCAACAGAGATTTTGAATACAAGAACAAATCATATTTATATCGTCTAAGACATCATAAATTGACGACTCTTTAGGCTAATAAAGCTTTGACTAAGTAAGGTCTCGACAGGAACCTTACCACAGACATGCAACACGATCGATAAAATACCAGGAACTAGGAGGCTCCTACGGGGAACTATTCTCTAACGAATGAAGGAAAATAAAACATGACTTTATGCTATAAAATGGGGACAATTAACATTTTATTTAATGAAATTATGATACAATCTATAAATATTCGTTTTAATTAACTTTAACAGATGCACAACATTTTAGAATATACTTTTTCGGGATGAAAGTAAAGTAATTAAAATCTCCCAATTTAAGCCTTTCGTATGATTTTAGATAAAGTTTTTTTCTTATGAGGACTTCTTTAGATCCCAGCTGCATAGATATAACTTTGATAGGTTATTAACTTCGCTGAGTACACTTAGGTGAAGTCTGAAATGCAAAGGGGTTTTCAGGCTTCTACCAAAAGATATTAATTAACTTACCGCTAGTTTCCTTTATAATGTATATTTATTGACAGAATTGCTGGGAATTACATATCATATTTTATATAGAAATATCTTTGGTACACATCTCTTACAACAGAGCAACGATTTAGATTTTTTCCCGTCGATTAACTTTCCTTTCCTTGTTAGTAACGCACCACCTTCCTTGCGTATCATTAGTTGATTCAGTCATCAGAGTATTTCTAACAATGCACTTTCTATTAATAGATAAGGCGTCACTTAAGGTGCCATCTATTGCGTCAACAGTTACGTAGCAAGGAACGTCTACCGTACAGGGTTCAATCAATGCTAAAACAACTTTACTACCATCATTTTCTACCTGATTGTACACCTCGGCATTCCACTATCGAACAGGATAAAACACCAGCTCGATGTGTTATAGTTCTTCATTGACTGACAAACTGGACCTCATCAGGATGTGTTCCACATATAACACCCAGTCCGAGTTCTTCCGACAGTTTGTTAGTGTTTATAATGAATTTCCTTTTGTTTTAGTTTATCGTTGAATCCTTCTGTTGCCTTTCCTTTTGTTTTGGATTATCGTTGGTTCCTGTTGTTGTCTTTCCTTTTGTTTTGGATTATCGTTGGTTCCTCCTGTTGCATTTCCTTTTGGTTTAGTTTATCGTTGGTTCCTGCTGTTGTCTTTCCTTTTGTTTTAGTTTATCATTGATTCCTGCTGTTGCCTTTTCTTTTGTTTTAGTTTGTCGTTGGTTCCTGCTGCTGTCTTTGCTTTTGTTTTAGTTTATCGTTGGTTCCTGCTGTTGTCTTTTCTTTTGTTTTGGATAATCGTTGGTTCCTGCTGTTGTCTTTCCTTTGGTTTTAGTTTATCGTTGGTTCCTGCTGTTGCATTTTCTTTTGTTTTAGTTTATCGTTGGTTCCTGCTGTTGTCTTTCCTTTTGCTTTGGTTTATCGTTGGTACCTGCTGTTGCCTTTCCTTTCGTTTTAGTTTATCGTTGGTTCCTTCTGTTGTCTTTTCTTCTGTTGTTTTTCCTTTCGTTTCTGTGTCTAC